CACAGCAGAGCCTCAGCCCCCCCTCCAAGGGACTCCCCAGCCCCCCAGGATGGGCTCTTGCTGTCAAATCACCACTCCCACCCTGCACCCTGCAGCCAACACTGGAGGGCTGGAGCCCAGCGACTGCTCCTGCTGCATCAGCTCCCACAGCCCAGCCCTGCACCTGCCTGTCCTGCCCCTGTGCTCTGCCCACTTCTGCCCTGGGAGGGGTACTCTGCTAGTGAGGTCCTTCTGCCTGCTCCCCCCTGTGCTGGAGCACATCTGGAACACCCCTGTGCTGGTGCCTGCAGCACCTCGGTGGGGTAGGGGATGGAGATCCATGCAGAAGTGAAGACACCAAGGTTGTTGGGGGGTTAGAAACCATGGAAGCTCACAAGAATATACGAATTTTCATAGAAGAACTGGGGCTTCTCCCCCCGAGGAGGCAGTGGGGACAACAGCCCAGCTGAGGTACATCTACACCAAAGTCCACAGCATGGGGGACAAAGAGGAGGAGCTGGAAGCAGCTCTGCAGCAGGAAAACTACTGACAGCTGCCACCACGGAGAGCTGGGGGCTGACAGAGCTGGAGTGCTGCAGGGGATGCCCTTCAGCTCCTCAGGAGGGACAGAGGCCGTGGGGCAGCCCCACGCCCTAGAGGAGTTTCCACTGCCCAGAGCCTGACAGTCCAGCTGGTGGCTGCTCACGAGTGGGGGCCAGTTCTGGCTGATATTTCCATCAGTGACCTGGATGAGAGGACCAAGGACACCCTCGGGAGCTGGCAGGCTAAGCTGGGTGGGTGTGTTGCTCTGCTGGGGGGTCGGGAGGCTCTGCAGAGGGACCTTTCCAGGCTGGATCCATGGGCTGAGGCATTTTACCCTAAATCCTACCAACCTTCTGCAGAGGGCTGGGGAGGAGCCCGGCAGCTGCCCACCACACCAGGAACCACCTTTGGGAGGACCAGGGAGGAGGAAAGTCCGTGCTGCTTGTAGTGCTCCTAGAAGCTCAGGCTCCAAAGCAACAGGGGATGGAGAAACGTGGTGGGAGGTGATTGGTAAAAGAGAGGCCTGAGGCAGACACTGCACGACCCCACCAGCAGCACCCCCAGAACCACACCCGGCCTCAGCAAAACTGGTAAGCCATTAAGTAGAGAAAACAGCATGAAAAAGAACCAATTGTTTGGCTCAGAACTCTGAGCCATCTAAATTTTCTCTTGTTTACACATACCTCCGTTTTTAATCATAGAAATGTCTAAAAAAAATGCCCATTCCCCTCCCCTCCCCTTTGGTGGTTCTAGAAACCAGAAAACACCCCTTTGTGGTTGCTTCAGAGTTCAGTCCATGGCTGTTCCTACCAGTACAAGGAAGGTGCAGGATGGAAGATCTGGGCACACGAAACACAAACACCACTGGCAGAAGGGACAGTCAACACGCCGGGCTTGGGAACACCAGACAGCAACTTTTTCCACAAAATGTATTGAACAGCACTTGCCCCTTAGCAAATAACTGATCAGAGAAGCTCCAGAACTTGGCGTTTCTCCCAGTGCTGCTCTGGATGTGGAGTCACTTACAGCCCATCCCACCCGAGCCCGTGACGGGTGCGGGGCAATCACCACGGGCACAGCCAAGGGGCCTCCCAGCTCCTCTCGGCACGCGTGTCCCGCTGCTCCTCTCAGCCCTGGCTCACAGCTCAAGTCATCTTCAGCCCGTCAAAGCCACAGAACTTCCACCTTTTCTCCAGGCTGGCCCCAACCCCGCTCAGCTCCTGCCTGAACGTGTTCTGGAGCCGGGTCATGAGAACTTCCACCTCTGCAGTGCAGATCTGTGAGGAGAGAAGGAGAGCGCCGCTGAAAACGAAGATGCTTTTGGTTGAGGAAGCCCTGGAGATGCTGGAGCTCTGCCACAGCGAGTGGGGACACACTCCTCAGCCTTCCCAAGGCCTCCTGCCCGTGGGTGCCCCGAGGGAACCACGTGGGGCAGCAGGAGCTGGAGCAGGGACCGCAGGAAACGGCAGGACCCATCCAACGCTCGAGCGCTGCCCCGGCTCCTGCCCTGCCTGACCCCTGCCCCCCCCACCCCACACAGCCCCCTCCTGAACAGGACCTCAGCACCAGGGTCCCAGCAGAGCCACAGGAGGCTCAGTGAAGGGCTGCAGGACCAGAAATATGGAAAAACTTTGCTCAGAGAAGAGACACAAACAGCCTGCGGCCGAGTTCGGAGAGAACACACAAACAGTGGCAGATGCTGGAGGATAATAAACACTGTGTGAGGGGAGGGTTGTTTGCCTTGGAGGTCAGGAGGGGAAGAGAAACAAAGGCAGCCAACTTCCCCAGAATAACAAAAATACATTTTTAGATGGAGATCTTGCAGATGGAATTCACTGCTGCAAAACCCAGCGAGCATCAAAGGGGTCCCCTGCACGACGGGGGGCACGTGATCCTCTGCAGCACCAGCATCCCCCCAGCTCTGTGCCATGGAAACATCAGGCTCTGCAAGGGCTAAGCCAGAAGCTGGGTGGCTTTGAGCAGCATGATGTAGCCCAAGAGGTCCCTGCTGTTGACTGGATGATCCCTAAAGGCCCCTCCAAGCCCAAACCATTCCAGAGTTCTAAGAAAGTTCACCCTGTCCTTGGTGTGCTTCCAGCAAATGATTCTAGTTCACAGAATTCCAGAATTCCAGCAAGGCCAGGGCTGGAAGGGACCTCTGGGGATCAACTCATCCCAACCCCTGCTCCAGCAGCTCACCCACAGCAGGGTGCCCAGGGTCACAGCCAGGAGGGTTTGGAATCCAGAGCAGGAGACTCCACAGCCTCTCTGGGCAGCTGCTCCAGGCTCTGCACCCTCCCAGCAGAGAAGTTTCTCCTCCTGCTCAGGTGGCACCTCCTGGGTTCCAGTTGGTGCCCGTTGCCCCTTGTCCTGTCCCTGGGCACCACTGAGCAGAGTCTGGCCCCAGCCTCTTGCCCCCTTCAGCTGTTGATCAGCACTGGCAGGTTCTCAGGCCCGCAGTGCTCACAGCAGGAGGGAAGCTCCCACCCCATCCCACCCAGTTGCCCTGGGGAACTGGAAGCACTGGGACACCTACCTTGCTGTCCAGGCGCTGCAGGTAGGAGCAGATGTACTCGATGCTGGCTCCAAAGGGGTGCACGTGAAGGAATGTGGAGATTATTCCTGGGGAAAGGACCACCACAAACACCACTGTCAGGAGAACAGGGCCAGCTGCCAGAAAAGACCGTGCCTTTGGTCCTCCCCAAGGTCCTGTCCCTCTCCAGGCAGAAACCAGCCCGTGAGCTGGCACCAACAGATCCACCTGGATGGCAATGCCCAACCTGCTGTTACACTCAAATCAGGTGCAGAGGGGTGGCTCAAGGAGACCTTGGCTGGCTGACAGAGAACCAGAGAAAATGCCTCATCCCAGCAGGACGAGCATTTCTGTTCCTCCTTTTCAGTGCTCCAGAAAGCCCCAACTCCCCAGCCCTTTGGGCTGAAAAGAGGCCACATTTGGTTGTTTTTCAGCATTAGTGGGAACAGACAAGGGGAAAGGCAACAGAAAGGGGAAGGGATCCCCCTGCACTGCACCTCCATCCCTTCGTGAGCACCCCGTGAAGCTGCAGGCAGTATTTCTGATCCCATCAAGCCCACTCTTCTCTCCCTGCCACCCTTCCCCACCCTTCCTCCCTCCCTGGCTGCAGCTTCTGAAGGCAGAAGAGCTGATCTGCTCGGGGCCCGTGGCACCCTGTGCCTGTGCCTCGCTGCTGCATGGGCCCACAGACATCACCCTCCCCCTGAGGTGCTGCCACGCTCAGACTGACCCAGGCCTGAGAGCCCCTGACCCTCCCAGGACCCGGGGAGGCTGAGGGGGCTCTAACAGGAGGCAGACAGACCTCCTGGAACGTGGTGCCTCCCAGGAGAGCAGCTCAGGCTCCAGCACGTGCTGGCCTGGATGTCACCACACACGAGTGCCCTTTACAGGCGTGTGGCTTTGCACAGCACAGGATTTCCAGGTGCACAAGGGGAGAGCCCAGCCCTGCCACAGCTCGAGGCTTCCCTTGGCTCCAGGACCCCCCCTCCATCTGGAGGTGGCCAGTGGGAGCTGCGTGGCCCCGTGAAGGAAGTGCTGCTCTGTTCAGGTCCCCAGCACCACCAAAAGAACTTACCAACTAGGAGAACTTCTCGTTCAGATTTCACAGGACTATTGCTCAGTGTCTTCTCAGCTGGACACTCCTTCTCCTGGCTGCACGAGCAGACTCTGGACGTGCTGCTCTCCTGCAAGAAAACCCACAGGGCCCCTTGCACACACCAGCAGCAGGGAGGACGTGGATGGAGCAGCAGCTCAGGCAGAGCCCAGACTCTTGTTTTCCTGTTTCTGCCTTCATGGCAGCTTCCTAGAATGGAAGCCTGGCAGTGACTAATTCAGCCACAGATGTTTATTTTTCAGATGCCTAAACAGAGGCAACATGATTCACCAAGTGCCCCGTGGCTGCACCCCGTGCAGGATCAGCCTGTCCTCCACTTGTATTTGTGGTACTCAATTAAAATGGAATTTTACATCATTTATTGTCCTCAAAATAAACACAAGGCTGCCAGGGGCACACAGGGTTGGTGGGTGCACTGCAGGCAGGACTTTCTTTTGTCCAAGTTCTATGCTGAATTCCAGTGGTCGGAGGGCTCCAGGCAGCTATAATGGGAAACAGCTCCAGTGAGAGGGGCTGGGCTTGGGCCAGCAGCAAAGATGGAATGAGGGGTCCCTTGGGTTTGCTCAGCTTCCTCCAGCAGTGCAATTCTCACTGCCCAGGACTGGAACTGCACAGCCCTGGCCTGAGCAGGCTGGGGGCTCCTGCAGGAGAAAGGGAAGGGCTGCACTGGGGAAACATCCACTGGTCCTCCAGCCAGAGGCTGCCAGTGATGGAAAATGGGAGGATCCCAATTTGTATGCAGAGAGTCTGGAGGTACCACGCTCACACACCTCACACCAAGCCAGACTTTAACCACGTGCCTCATTTTACAATGAGGTGTCTTAACTCCTCAGCAAAATATCCTGACTGAGGCAGCAGGAAAACTCTGAGACTTACATTCCCTTGGCCATCAGCTGCATCCCTCTCCTTGTCCTCTTCATCTGCCATGCTGTGCTGCAGGGTGGCACAGGGAAGGAATGGTTACTGAGGCCAGGCTGAGCTCTGCTCTTTGACAGCAGGCACTGACACTCCTGCACTCATCATCACTGGCATACAAAGCCATTTTTAATTACAACACAGTCATTAACTTGCCAGCTGATGGCACAAAAAGGTGGGGCTAAAGGTTGTAAATCTGAGAGCAGAGCTAGGATTTGGCTCTGGGGCCTGCAGTGAGAAGCACTGCACCATGTCTCTGAAATGCAAATGTTTGATGACTGAGACCCTTTTTTTCCCCTTGTCTTTTAAAGATCAGGTTGCAGAAAAAAAAAAAATCCCCTTTCAGCTGCAATACCACTGTCCACTATCATATCAAAGTTAATCTTTCATTTCTACAGGTGCTCATGCAGACTGCCTCACTGGCACCCAAAGCTATTGCACTACCAAAACACAGCCTCCAATGTGGCAGGGAATTTATTCCAGCTTTCCAAGGAGAACTGCTAAGCCAGGGCTTGGCCCCTGCAGCACTCTGTCCTTCACTGTGCTCCTGAGGGACTCCAGGGGCTGTGTTCAGAAGCAGGAAGCACTGGGATGGCACATACCTGCTCCTTCAGGTTTTCTAATAATGTTTCTATTTTCAGTTTGTCTTCCTTCACTTTTTCTAGCTCGGCTTCTCTCCTTTTGTATTCCTCCTGCACTTTCAAAAGGTGCTGGAAAAGAAAAGAGGAACTTAGTTCTTAACCTGCCTTCCCCCTCCTAGTTAATTAACATAAAACAAATAAGGGCTTCTCCATAAGACCAGACAGATCCTATCCAGAACAATTAAAACACAACAAGAAGAAACCTTTCCTACAAAGCCCCATAGAAACATCTTTGCCTGTCAGCAGACAAAAAAAAAGCATGACTTTGTAAACACAGGGCAGTAATTCCACCATCATCAACCCTTCACCAGCCCTGAAATACAGCACGTGTGGGGTGGTTCATGTGTCAGGCTCAGCCAGAGAAGAGCCACAGCCTCCCCTGCAGCTCCTCACTCCAGCACAGCAGCTCCCTGAGCCTCTCCATGCTGCAATGCTTGTCATCACTCTGCCTTCATACCCCAGGGCTGTTACCCACACCAGTGGGGTTTACAAGGACCCAAACCCCTTGAGACTCAGCACAGGGAAACCCCACAGAGCAAGACATGCCCTACATGATTCCATGAGAAGACCAGTAAGGGTCAGAAAAGGGGTCAGAGCACAGGGTCACAGCAAGGGGTCCCACTTTCTTGCTCATGCTGGTAACCAAGGTCTCATGACAGATTCTGATCTGTTTTGGCAGAGGACTTTAGAGCCCTAATGGCTCAATGGTTGGACTTGATGATCTTGGAGGTCCCTTCCAACCTAAAGGATTCTATGATTCTATGTGGTTCCAGAGCAGGTCAGCAGAGACCCACTACTTCAGAGGTCACAGCATGGTCAAGGAAAGAGCACACAAGGAATCCATGAACTATGGATTGTTCCCATGTGACTTTCAGCTCATAAACAACATAAACCATCACTGTTTTGAACGCTTGGTCAGTTGGGGCTTTTTTGGCAACTGGAAATGACAGAAAGTTGCTCCTGTTTGCCAGTTTTGACCCCACTGAAAACCAAAATGCCTTTTGCTGGTGGTTCTGCTCCACATCACAGCCCCTTCTCTCCCACCTTCTGCATGCCCTGCAGAGCCTGCTGCAGGAGCTTCATCTGCTGCTCCCTGGTGGTGTCCTCGTCCCGGGAGGCCTTGCCCTGCTCCTGCCTCAGCAGCTCCACCTCGTTGCGGTAGGCGTCCAGCTGCCAGCGCAGGCTGTCGTTCTCCTCCTTCAGGGCCTCCACCTGGGCCACCAGCGCTGGGGAACGAGCAGGCAGGGACCAGCAGTCAAAGGACAGGCAGCACGTCGGCCCTGGGTGCTCCCCCCAGCGTGCAGTGGCTCCCCCAGAGCTCAGCTACAAACCCAGAGCTCCCAACCGAGGGTCTCCTCGGGACACTCCGGGCAACCAGCACCTCCCAGGGGTGAGGGCAGAGATTCAAGGGGAGGGAAGAAAGAAGCAGAAGACCAAGCACTGCTTATGAGCTGTGAAAAGTGATTTTACCTGATTCTTCTGTTTCCTTCATCTCTGAGGGATCTTCTATTTCTTCATCAGACATCTCCATCTCCTCCTCCCTTCGAATACCCATCAGCTCATCGTTATGGATGTTACGGATCTCCTAAGGGTCAGAAAGCAGAGGGGGGTTTAAATACAGAGCACAGGGAATGGACTGGCTGGAGAACACAACTGCATGGTGCAAGAGGTGAAATGGTTAAAAACCCTGCCACAGACCAGAGGGAGGACAGTGCCCAGCACCAGTCTGTCAGTGCTGCTGGTATGTGTGACCACGAGTCCACCCCCTGACACCACAGATACCTGCAGGAGCAGGGACACCTCCCAGGGGACCCCTTAGGGCTGGGAGACCCTGTCCCTGGCATCTGATAGCTGTGATGAGGCAAGAGATGTTCTACATTACACCTAAAAGTGTATTACATGCTCAAAACATTTCTATTTCTATCTTTATCTGCAGCTATAGCTTATTAGAGGAGCAGTAAGCAGCAGTGTCTGACCCCCATCGACTCACCCACCATCAACTCACTGTTCAGCTACCATCCAGCTACTGCTTAATCACCCTTTGATTACCATTTCATATCACTCCACCATCAATGAATTATCACCTGATCATTGTTCAGTCATCAATAAACCCCTCTTAGTCAGCCCTCAATGGGGACTTCTCTGGATCCACCTCAGGGACGTCCAGCTGGGCTGTGCCAGGGGACATCTCCCTGGCCCCTCTCTCCTGCCATACGTTGTGCCTGCTCCTTCTGAGCTCTGGTCCACGTGGTGGCCACCACACAGGTCCTGCTCCACAGCAGCAGGACAGTCCCCACGGCCTGCAGTGCTGCCTGGCCCACCACACGACCTACCTTAGCCAGGGGCCATGGCAGCTGAACCAGGAACTGCAAGTACCCACACAGACCAAGCTGCCCAGACAGGCTGTGGAGCCTGTTGTGGAGTCTCCTGCCCTGAAGAGATTCCAAATCTGTCTGGACACCATCCTGGGCCCCCTGCTGTGGGCGAGCTGCTGGAGCAGGGGGGTTGGATGAGATGATCTCCAGAGGTCCCTGCCTTGCTGCCACCTCCTGCCCCTTACCAGTACCTGGAGCACTTTGAAGCTTCTCTGCCCCTGTGCCACCCAGAGCTGCTGGGATCCTCTGCACTCTGTGACACAGCCTTGGCCCACATTAGGGGTCAGAAAGGAACTGAGATGCCACCTCCAATGGTGACCCCTGAGCCACCCTAGCTCCTGTGTGTCCTTTCTGCTCAGTCTTGCCCAGCCAGAGCTGCCCAACCCCATCTGCTCCTCCAGACAAGATCCCCAGCCCCATCCTCTGCTCCAGCCAGAGACTGAGCTCTGCACAGATCCACATGAGCCTGCCTGCAAGGCAAGGAAGCACCCAGCTCAGCCTCCCCACCCCACTGCAGAGCAGGACAACCCACAGCCAGTTCTCCATGAAGATGGAGATGTCAAGAGTACTTACTAGAGGCCACCACAGGCAGCCAAGTGTCCCTGCCTGGTGGCACTTCACCATTGGATTATACACTGCAAGAACAGCCACCAGAGAAAAGACAGAGAAGATTGGATGTGAAATAAAATCAACACCCAGCTCTTCACAGATCTTACTCTAACAGCCTGAAGCTTTCAGCAGCTCTGCTCACCAGCTCCAAGCACACGACTGCCAAGAGCAGCCCAGAGGGACAACCACCACGTGCTCAGTGTGGATGAACAGAGACCCTGGGGACAGCAACGGGGAGAGGGCAAGGCCAGGGCAGAGCCAAGTGATGGGCAGAGCTGGCCACGCTTCCAGAGCAACTGCTGCTGCCCTGGAGACCACCCCTGAAAGGGCAGCTGGGTTGGGGGTCAGAGGAACATCTTCCCACTGTCTTTAACTGACTCTGCTCAGCAGCTGAAAGCCCAAAGTGGCTCCAGGCTGGGAAGGCTGCACAGAGCAGAGCACCCAGCAGGGCCAGGCTATGCCAGGGGTCACAGCACCCTGACTGCACCCAGAGAGGACCCCTGGATGGAGAGGAAAGAGCATCACAGAAACCAAACACTTGAGCCAGGCCCTTGGGTGGGTGAAGCACCCCTAGCACGGTGGTTCCCCAGGTCTCAGGCTTCCATGGATTCTTGATGAACTGTCTGGGAAAACCACCTGAAGTCACCCCTGACAAAACCAAAGCCCCTGCCCAGCGTTAGGCTGGGGCACTCCCCAGCAGGTCCCTGCTCCCTGAGCTGCCCACCATCCAACACAGTGACCCACAGGGCTGAATTCTGCCAAAAGCTGCACCGAGAAGGTGCATCCTGTGGGTCCACCTTCCTTTAAGAGAAGGCCCTCAGCTGGGGAGACCAGCAGGCTGAGCCCAGCAGCAAGTACTCCTAAAGAGGCCTCACCAATGGTCTCACAGCCTCTGGCCACGGGGAGGACTTACCTTGGAACAAAAGGCAGCTCCAGATGGAGAGCGTGCTCCCACCCCAGTCACCCTCAGCCACGTCAGTAAGCAGGAAAGGACAGGAGCTCTAGGGCTCAGAGCAGAGGCACAGCCTGAACCAGGCTCCAGACCTGGCTCCTCAGGTGTAAAAGGAACTGTGAGCTCCTCCAGCTGCTGGGTCCCACCACGTCAAAGGAGTCTCACTGCCAGTGCTAAGAACTGATTCAAGCTCCAGCCTACTTTAAAAGCTTAAGGAGCATGAAAAATAGAATTTCTTGCTCTTTGCTTCCAAACTATTCACAGCCCAGGGAGACAATGCTTGTGTCACCACTCTGAGCATTAAGCTTCCTGGGGAAGGGATGGAGGAGTGAGACTGCCCTGACCAGGAGACCCACCCTGGGGCTCTTCCACAGCTCCTGGCAGCCCCCCAAGGCCCAGGAGCACAGCTATCTCCTCCCTTCATTCCTCCTCAGGTCACAGCAAGGTCGAGGTGGGCTCCACTGCCAGCTGCAGAGAGCACTGTGACACCCCCACCACGCAGGTGACAGCGGGTGGCAGGTATCCCACCAGAGACCCCAGGGGAAGCACCTCCCCAGGCCACCCCTTCCCAAGGGACAGCCTTGCTCTGCCTCAGCTCTGCCTTGCTGACACTGTGCCTGAACCCACTAAGAGCTGCTGAGATGAAATCAGGGGCTGCAAACTGTTCTCCTCTTGTGGGAGGAGCAGTTTGAGTGACACGACTTCTTCCATCAGCCCTGTCCTGGTCACCACCCCCTTTCAACCTGTATTTCAAGCCTCTTTAGGGACCCTTCCAACTTAAACTACAATTCCATTCACCACCTTCAATGCCTGTATTTGACAAGCAGTGTCCCTGCCTGGGACAAACACACAACTATGAGAACACCCTCCCTGCAGGCTTGCAGGCTGTCCAGCCACAACTTTAATATATTAAACAACTTTCCACCTCTTAAATCTGTCAATAAAAGTGTGATAAAACAGATCTCTGATGACGTTTAGGGTTTGTTGGTTTTTTGTAAAATATTTCTTTAGAAACCCCTCTGGCTTTAACATTAAAACCAGCAGAAAACAGGTCAATAGTGATCATTACTGTGCACAACTTCCATCAGCACCCAGACCTTGATGTATGGCTGTGAATAACACAGATACTAAGAGAAAAACACATTACCTGTGACACAAGAGAGGAGCAATTCCCATCTGTGGAATGAAGGTGTTGTTATCCACGCAAGCATCGTGCAAACTCAACATCAACATCCTGACACCAAAGAGACTGTGCTGGAGCATCTAACACAATAAAAAGTTACCAACCTCTGCTTGTTTGCACCACACGCTGATGTTCTTACGCTGAGCTTTCGTGAAATGGTCCCAAGCCTTTTGTTTGGAGGCAGAATGGTACACGGCCACTATCTGCTCGACTGTAGTATCAAATCAGCAGTCAAATCAGGCCAGAATATCATCCAGAGAGGGCGAACAAGAGGAGTAAAGGAGTAAAAAAGTGGAATCAGGCAGGTGGTTTGGCCATCCTTTTCTCACAACACTGTCCTACGCTCAGGAAAGGGGCTCAGGGCCCAGGAGGGAGAGTGCCGTGCTCCCCAGCTTCAGCCCTCCTCTTCCTCCAGGACACTTGCCAAGGCTTCTGGAAACCTCAAGCGCCTCTCTTGGACGGGAGCTCACCCAGCAGCAGAAAGCACAGCTACTCAACTCCTTTTGTGGGTGTACTTCTTACAAAATGAAATCAGAAATCAGCTCCCTGCTACTCAGAGGACCCTGACAGTGGCTGAGACACGCGTGGGTGCCCTGCAGAGCCCCTGCACACTCCTGCCTGTCACTCCTTGCTCTGCAGCACTGACTTGATTTCCCTCTGGACCATGGGCCTGTATTTTTTTATTTTTTATTTTTTTACCATGAATAGAACCGGAAATTTGAATTAAAAAAAAATAAAAATCAAGTCTCAAATGAGTAACAGCCAAAATAACTTCATAGAAAAGCAAAAGTCAGGAATGTTCACTATCTAGCCAAGGGGCTCAAGGACTCTTTGTGCAATTGTGGAGAAGTTCCACTGAAAAAAAAAATAAAACCTCTTAAAAAAAAAACAAATTCATACTTAGCAAAGGAAGGATGTGTAAGAGGCAAGGAGTGGTTTGCAGAGCTGTTATAAATCACATCCTGGGACTAATACAGCCCATGCCTCGATTCCACGGCCTTATAGAGCCCCAGGATTTGAAAGGCCCAGGTCTGAGAGGCTCTGCAGCAGGATCCCAGCTGCAGGGGAGAACAGGGTGTTGGGGACACTCTGCTGCATCCTACCTTTGGTGAGAAAATCCTGCACACTTCGCCGAGGCACCACATTACCCAGGACTTACCTTGGCTGTGCACAGCACTCGACTTGAAAAGATCACACAACTACTAAGAGACTATAATTGAAAGAGGAAAACAATTAAGGATTCATTCTCTCCTCCCCCCAGACGTGGACTCTTGCTCCAATAAAAAGTACCACGAGCAACTTTTGCCAAGTTAATGACCTATGTTTAGAAATCAATGGTGGCTGCAGAGAAGCAGTTGCTGCTGCTGCTCCTGGAGCCCTTTTAGCGTGGCCTCTCCAGGGTCTAGAAACAAGGTGTCTGCCCTACAACAACAGGCAACAAACATCCAGTGTGGGAACTCTACTCACACTGAACCAGAATCCCTGAGAGAGCAAGTTTGAACTTCTCCTTGGCTTCCTCCATCTCCTTCTCGTGAGCTGCCTTCTCGTTCACCAGCCGGCGCACGTGGCTGTTGGCCGACTGGATCATGGAGTAGAAGTTGTTGGCAGTCCTCCTGTTCACCTCCCCACGCTCTATCCAGGTCAGCAAGGTCTGGATGGCTTCCAGGAACTTGCTGTCATCTGCAGCAAGGAAGGACACCTTTACATCGCGGGAAGGGGCACGGACCCTTTCCCCAGCGTTGTGGTTTGAGGCTTGGAAGGGGGGCGTGACCTTCCAGCACCTGGGAGGACCCCGGGTGGGGGTGAACCATTGTATTCCCTCCCCTTCCCACACACACTCTGATCAGAGGCAGAAAGTGGGTGTTAATTTCACTCCTGCCTTGGAGCTCGGAGAGGGAAGTTGTCCTTGCACTCCGTGGGACCCTGGAACCATTTCTGAGGGTTTTGTATACTCTATTTTTTTGTATTATTCCCCTAATCTTTGTCTATATTATTCTCCTTACCTCCCTTTTTCGTTTTCTGTTCCTTGTTGAACAATATACTTCATTTTTTTTCCAAAGTCTCGCTCGTGGGGGGGGAGAGGCGAGTCCATAGTTCTGTTCCGTGTGGGGCCTGCCCTGGACCCCTTTTTACACGGAACCAGGACACCCAGCACTGCTGAACTGCTCTCTCAGAGCTCAGCCTGCTTCAGGTGCTCAGCACAGCTCCTCAGAGCAGCGTGTTACTGGCTGTACGACACAGGGCAAGGCCAACGCCGAGCTGATGCTGCACCTCAACAGATAGTTTGCTCCATGAGGAGGACCAGCTGCTAGCAACACACTGGAAAACTTCAAACCCCTATTCAGATGTGCTCTTTCATGAAAAACAACACAGGCCACACGAGTCTTGGGCTTTGAAGGAGGACTTAGGACTGACACCAGCCCAAGCACGGGTTGGTTGCCACTGAAAGACCAGCAGCTCCGCAGCAGGCGCAGCGGGGAGAGCTGCTGTGCGCAGGGTCTGGATGGCCCACGGCCGCCCGGGGAGGGGTCCCGGGCCCAGGGCAGCACCCACCTTTCAGCTTCTCGGCGACCAGGCTGCACTCGTGGTCGGAGTAGTGGCCGACGGGGGGCGGGGAGGGCGGTCGGAAG